AGAGTTTGGAATCTGATTGATTGATTGCTTCTGTGGACAGGTGTCTTTTATACAGGTAACAAGCTGAGATTAGGAGCACTCCCTTTAAGAGTGTGCTCCTAATCTCAGCTCGTTACCCGTATAAAAGACACCTGGGAGCCAGAAATCTTTCTGATTGAGAGGGGGTCAAATACTTATTTCCCTCATTAAAATGCAAATCAATTTATAACATTTTTGACATGCATTTTTCTGGATTTTCTTGTTGTTATTCTGTCTCTCACTGTTCAAATAAACCTACCATTAAAATTATAGACTGATCATTTCTTCGTCAGTGGGCAAACGTACAAAATCAGCAGGGGATCAAATACTTTTTTCCCTCACTGTACAGAGAGAGAGAGAGAGATTTGGAGAAAGAGAGTCCGTGATTGGAGGAGACAGGAAGACTCATAAAACGTGGACCATGAAACATCGATTCCCCTTATAAACCCTCTCGCTCGCACGGGCCCCGTCACAGAGTCTCAGGCGAGCGAGTGAGCGAGCGAGTGACGGAGTGATGGAGCGAGCGAGCGACTGGCTGGAGGATCGACTGAGCGAGTGACGGAGTGATGGAGCGAGCGAGCGAGTGACGGAGCGAGCGAGTGACGGAGCGAGCGAGTATGTAAGTGGTTCAGTAAGTGAGCAAGTGAGGGAGTAACTAAGTGAGCGAGTAACTAAGTGAGCGAGTAACTAAGTGAGCGAGTTACTGAGTGAGCGAGTAACTAAGTGAGCGAGTAACTAAGTGAGCGAGTTACTGAGTGAGCGACGAAGCGAGCGAGTGAGTGGGTGACTTAAGTGAGCGGGTGAGCGAGCCAGTGGGGAGAGCCCCTCGTGAACCAAAACCAAGCCCAGCGACTCTCCCACCTGGACAGCGGTTGCGCAATCTTCGTGACCCCCACACCCCCCCCCCCCTCGTGACCCCCACCCCATGGCGTCCCCTGGCCGTGTGGGGGTGCGGGCGAGGGGTCTGCAGGGACCGCCTCTGCTGGGGTCACCGAGAGCCGTCCACCTGCCCATCGACATCGCGCAGCGCCGATGCAGCCGGTACCACGCGCCGCATTCCCCCCCTAGGTCGACTCGGCCTCAAATTAGCTTTGCCTGCTGCGCCGTGAAACGTTCGCCACCGTTGGGGGAGACAAAGGCGGCCGGGCGCGCGTGGTTGCTGGCCACCCCACCCACCACGTGTCGTGTAGCACAGTGACGGCGTTCGTAGGTGCTGCTGCTGCTACTCGCTAACAGCACTTGCCCCGACAGTCTGTGAGAGGCTACACGGGGGATCTTTGTCTCCTTCATAGGCGCTGCTGCTACTCGCTAACAGCACTTGCCCCAAGTCTGTTAGAGGCTACACGGGGGAGCTTTGTCTTTGTCTCATTCATAGGTGCTGCTGCTACTCGCTAACAGCACTTGCCCCAAGTCTGTTAGAGGCTACACGGGGGATCTTTGCCTTTAGTCTGCTTCATAGGCGCTGCTGATACTCGCTACTAACAGCACTTGCCCCGACAGTCTGTTAGAGGCTACACGGGAGATCTTTGTCTTTGTCTCCTTCATAGGCGCTGCTGCTACTCGCTAACAGCACTTGCCCCAAGTCTGTTAGAGGCTATAGGGGAGGATCTTTGTCTGTGTCTTTGTGTAGTGGTGTGCCCGTATATCTGAATTGGTACTGGGCCTCCCCTAGGTCGACTCAGCCTCAAATGAGTACCTTGTCCGGTGTGTAGTAAACATTGCTACTGGGGAGACAAAGGCGGCCGGGCGTGGTGCTGGCCACCCACCCCCTCGTGTGCCGTTCCGGCCTTCATAGGTGCTCGCTAACAGCACTTGCCCCTACAGTCTGTTAAGACTATATGGGGGATCTTTGGTGATGGTCGTGGTGATGGTGTTGGTAGTGATGGTGGTGGTGATTGTAGTTGTGGTGGTGGTGGTGGTGGTAACAGCACTTTTCCCAAAAGTCTGTGAAGACTATATGGGGGATCTTTGTCTTTGGTGATGGTCGTGGTGATGGTGTTAGTAGTGATGGTGGTGGTAACAGCACTTTCCCCAAAAGTCTGTGAAGACTATATGGGGGATCTTTGTCTTTGCTGATGGTCGTGGTGATGGTATTGGTAGTGATGGTGGTGGTGATTGTAGTTGTGGTGGTGGTAACAGCACTTTCCCCAAAAGTCTGTGAAGACTATATGGGGGATCTTTGTCTTTGCTGATGGTCGTGGTGATGGTATTGGTAGTGATGGTGGTGGTGATTGTAGTTGTGGTGGTAACAGCACTTTTCCCAAAAGTCTGTTGAGGCTATACGGGGGATCTTTGTCTTTGCTGATAGTCGTGGTGATGGTATTGGTAGTGATGGTGGTGGTGATTGTAGTTGTGGTGGTGGTAACAGCACTTTTCCCAGAAGTCTGTTGAGGCTATACGGGGGATCTTTGTCTTTTGGTGGTGACGATTATCACACCAGCAAACGATCATCCGAAGCGGTCCTGGGCATCCCCTAGGTCGACTCAGCATCAAATGAGTAATGTACCTGGTGTGGTGGTGTGTAAATGTCGCCACTGGGGAAACAAAGGCGGCCGGGCGTGGTGCTGGCCACCCACCCCCTCGTGTGTGCCACAGTGCCGACATTCATAGTTGTTGCTACTCGCTAACAGCACTTGCCCCGACAGTCTGTTAGAGGCTACACGGGGGACCTTTGTCTTTGTCTCCTTCATAGGTGCTGCTGCTGCTACTCGCTAACAGCACTTGCCCCGACAGTCTGTTAGAGGCTACACGGGGGACCTTTGTCTTTGTCTCCTTCATAGGTGCTGCTGCTGCTACTCGCTGACAGCACTTGCCCCAGCAGTCTGTTAGATGCTACACGGGGGATCTTTGTCTGCTTCATAGCTGCTGCTACTCACTACTAACAGCACTTGCCCCGACAGTCTGTTAGAGGCTACACGGGGGACCTTTGTCTTTGTCTCCTTCATAGGTGCTGCTACTCGCTAACAGCACTTGCCCCCGACAGTCTGTTAGAGGCTACACGGGGGACCTTTGTCTCTGCCTTTTAGCCGTGCGCCGCTTTGAGTCGCTGGCGCAGCCTACAGGAGGAGGCTGTTGACTTTGCGAAGGCTAAATAAATAAATTAAAAATCCCTCACCAATAAATTAAATAAAAGCCATAAAACATCGATATATAGTCGCATAAATACACACTCACGTGTTCGCGTGTGTACTCGATCACACCAAAAGACAAAGATCCCCCGCGTAGCCTCTAACAGACTGTCGGGGCAAGTGCTGTTAGCGAGTAGCAGCAGCAGCGCCTATGAAGGAGATAAAGACAAAGATCCCCCGTGTAGCCTCTAACAGACTGCTGGGGCAAGTGCTGTTAGCGAGTAGCAGCAGCACCTATGAAGGAGACAAAGACAAAGGTCCCCCGTGTAGCCTCTAACAGACTGTCGGGGCAAGTGCTGACAGCGAGTAGCAGCAGCGCCTATGAAGGAGACAAAGATCCCCCGTGTAGCCTCTAACAGGCTGCTGGGGCAAGTGCTGTTAGCGAGTAGCAGCAGCGCCTATGAAGGAGACAAAGATCCCCCGTGTAGCCTGTAACAGACTGTCGGGGCAAGTGCTGTTAGCGAGCACCTATGAAGGCCGGCACCGTGGCACACGTGGGTGGCCAGCACCACGCCCGGCCGCCTTTGTCTCCCTTGTGGCGATGTTTACTACGCACACCGCTACACCAGCTACTCATCTGAGGCTGAGTCGACCTAGGGGAGGCCCAGGACCAGGTTCACACAATCGTCACCGCTGTTGGAATCGAACTCGGGTCGCCGGGCTCGCTACGCCAACGCACGCGGTTCGTGAAGGGGGCGCTACTGCTGGGCAGTGCCAGGCTAGGTGCACAGTGAGGCGACTCAGGCAGTAGGGAGGCAGTCGCCCCCCTCCCCCCCACTCCAGCCACAACGACGAGAGGGCAGAGGGGAGCGACTGCTCACAACAACGAGCGGGGACGCCGGGCGGATAAAACGCAGCAACTTTGAACCAGCGGGGAGCACAGCTGTGGTGGTGCATCTGGCAGGCTTCTCAGACCTCCTCCTGCACCTAGCCTGGCACAGCACCAGTCAACCCATGGCACCTGCAGGGTCTATCCCGTGACCTCCTCCTGCACCTAGCCTGGCACAGCACCAGTCAACCCATGGCACCTGCTGGGTCTGTCCCGTGACCTCCTCCTGCACCTAGCCTGGCACAGCAGCAGTCAACCCATGGCACCTGCTGGGTCTGTCCCGTGACCTCCTCCTGCACCTAGCCTGGCACAGCACCAGTCAACCCATGGCACCTGCTGGGTCTGTCCCGTGACCTCCTCCTGCACCTAGCCTGGCACAGCACCAGTCAACCCATGGCACCTGCTGGGTCTATCCCGTGACCTCATCCTGCACCTAGCCTGGCACAGCACCAGTCAACCCATGGCACCTGCTGGGTCTGTCCCCGTAACGTCCCTGCCACTTGACGGCGAACGGCGGTTGTTGTTGTGTTTGTTGTTGTGTTGTTGTTGTGTTTGTTGTGTTGTTGTGTTTGTTGTTGTTTGTTGTGTTGTTGTGTTTGTTGTGTTGTTGTTGTGTTTGTTGTGTTGTTGTTCTGTTTGTTGTTGTGTTTGTTGTGTTGTTGTTGTGTTTGTTGTGTTTGTTGTTGTGTTTGTTGTGTTGTTGTTGTGTTGTTGTGTTTGTTGTGTTGTTGTTGCGTTGTTGTGTTTGTTGTGTTGTTGTGTTTGTTATGTTGTGTTTGTTGTGTTGTTGTGTTTGTTGTTGTGTTTGTTGTGTTGTTGTTGTGTTGTTCTGTGTTTGTTGTGTTGTTGTGTTTGTTGTGTTTGTTATTGTTGTTTGTGTCGTCGTCGCCGTCATTAACATTCCTTACCTCCTCCTCCACCCCCTCCACCTCCACCACCTCCTCCTCCACCACCTCCTCCCCCTCCTCTTCCACCCCACCTCCTCCTCCACCTCCTCCTCCCCCTCCTCCTCCACCTCCTCGCAGCTTCGACGTGGAGAATGGCGTCTCGCCGGGCCGCAGCCCGCTGGAGGCGCAGGCGAGCCCCGGCTCGGGCGGCCTCGTGCTGCACGCGGCCTTCCCGCACGGCGCGCGACGCGAAAGTTTCCTCTACCGCTCCGACAGCGACTACGACCTCTCGCCAAAGTCGGTGTCGCGCAACTCCTCCATCGCCAGCGACGCGTGGGTGCACGCTTCTACACACACACACGCGCGCGTGTCTACACACACACACGCGCGCGTCTACACACACACACGCGCGCGTCTACACACACACACGCGCGCGTCTACACACACACACGCACGTGTCTACACACACACACGCGTCTACACACACTTCTACACACACACACGCATCTACACACGCACGCGTCTATACACACACGTGTCTACACGCACACGCACGTGTCTACACACACGCATGCACGTGTCTCCACACACACACACCTTGCCTACAGACACGCGCGCAGACACACGCACGCATGGAGACACGTGGGGAGACACACTTGCAGACACACGCTCGCATGGAGACACGTGGGGAGACACTTGCAGACACACGCACGCGTGGAGACACGAGGAGACGCGCACATCGAGAGACGCACGTGCAGGGACACGCGTAGGCAGAGACACATGCACACACACACGCACACACACGGCCGCACGCACGTACACACAGTCACACACACACACGCACACACAGTCGTACACACACACGGCCGCACACACACGGCCGCACACACACACACACAGTCGCACGCACACACAGTCGCACACACACACGCACACACAGTCGTACACACACACGCACACACAGTCGTACACAGACACACTCACACACACGCACACACAGTCACACACAGACAGTCACACACACGCACGAGCAATGACGCTTGCTCAAGCGCAGTCATCGGCATCACAAGCGTCCGTAATCGCAGCGTCAGCGCAATCATCATCGTAGTCATCATCGTCGTCATCGTCGTTAACACAATCATAGTCATCGTAGTCATCGTCGTTAACACAATCGTCAGCAAGCTCCGTCATCATCACCACCGCTATTGTCACCCCCACCCCCCTCCTAAGTGGCTCTTAGAACCCCCACTTTGTCATCAGTATCATCATCTGTATCATCATCAGCGTCATTATCAGCATAATCATCAGCGTCATCATCATCAGCATCGTCATAATCAGCGTCGTCATCATCAGTATCATCATCAGTATCATTAGCGTCGTCATCAGCATCATCCTCGTCATCGTCGTCTTCATCGTCGTCGTCATCATCATCGTCGTCGTCGTCGTCATCATCATCGTCGTCGACGTCGTCATCAACGTCATCATCATCATCATCCTCGTCGTCATCGTCATCAACGTCATCATCGTCGTCATCATCATCATCGTCGTCGTCATCAACGTCATCGTCGTCGTCATCATCGTCGTCATCGTCGTCATCATCGCCCTCGTCGTCATTGTCGTCATCATCGTTATCGTCGTCATCATCGTCGTCGTCGTCATCATCGTCATCATCGTCGTCGTTCCCGACAGTCCTCCGTGACCATGACGCAAGGCGATTTCCAAACGCCCGGTGGAGCCTCCCTTCACAGGCGCTGCTGCTGCTGCTCACTAACAGCACTTGCCCCCAACAGTCTGTCACGGCTGTACGGGGGATCTTTGTCTTTGTGCTGCGCGTGTGTCTGCGCGTGCGCGTGTTCATGTGCGTGTGCGTTCATGTGGGCATGCGTTCACGTGCGCGTGTGTTCATGTGCGCGTGTATTCGTGTGGGCATGCGTTCATGTCCGCGTGTGTTCATGTGCGCGTGTATTCGTGTGGGCATGCGTTCGCGTGCGCGTGTGTTCATGTGCGCGTGCGTTCATGTGGGCATGCGTTCACGTGCGCGTGCGTTCGCGTGCGCGTGTGTTCATGTGCGCGTCGCATTCCCACTAACACGTGCGTTCCATTTCAGTGCCGTGCGTGCTGGCGTGCGTCGATCGTTCTCAGTGACAGGAGTGTGTGCACACGTCTGTGTGTGTGTGTGTGCGTTTCCACTGACACGTGCCGTGTGCCATCACTGACACGTGCCGTGCGTCATCACTGACACGTGCCGTGCGTCATCACTGACACGTGCCGTGCGTCATCAGTGACACGTGCCGTGCGTCATCACTGACACGTGCCGTGTGTCATCACTGACACGTGCCGTGTGTCATCAGTGACACGTGCCGTGTGTCATCACTGACACGTGCCGTGTGTCATCAGTGACACGTGCCGTTTGTCATCAGTGACACGTGCCGTGTGTCATCACTGACACGTGCCGTGTGTCATCACTGACACGTGCCGTGTGTCATCACTGACACGTGTCGTACATCATCACTGACACGTGTCGTGCGTCATCACTGACACGTGCCGTGTGTCATCACTGACACGTGCCGTGCGTCATCACTGACACGTGCCGTGCGTCATCAGTGACACGTGCCGTGCGTCATCAGTGACACGTGCCGTGCGTCATCAGTGACACGTGTTCAGTGACGCACGCACGTGGTCATCATCAGTGACGCGTTCACACGAGGACCCCCCCCCCCCCAGGTCGACTCGGCCTCAAATGAGTACCTGGGGAGACAAAGGCGGCCGGGCGTGGTGCTGGCACGCCCCACCACCTCGCGCTGCTACTCGCTCACAGCCACTTGCCCCGATGGTCTGTTTGAGGCTACCCGGGGTATCTTTGTCTTTGTGGTGATGCTGCTTGATGGTCAGTGGGGGGAGGGGCAGAAGATCCAACGGTGAGTGACGTCGATGATGCGTGATGACGTGTACGTCCCTCCCTCCATTCCCCCTTCCTCCCCCTCCTTTACCCCCCCTGCCCCCCCTCCCCCTTCCTCCCCCTCCTTTACCCCCCCTGCCCCCCCCACTCCTTACCCCTGCCAACCCACCCACCCCTCCCCTGTTCCCCCTCCCCCTAACCCCCCTCCCCCATTCCCCCCTCCCCCTCTTCCCCCCCTTCACCTTTTCCTCCTTCACCCACCCCCACCCACCCCACCCCCCACCCACCCCCCCCCCCACCCCACGTCACTCAACCAGGAACGCTCTCCTGGGACCCAAGAGTGACCGGAATTCCGACCCGGGTCTGTCCCGGTCCCACGGGATGTAAGTGTCCAGCTCCTCTGGGGGCGCTGTCCCACAGTCCGTCTACAGGGGGGGTGATTGATGATGATTGGTGGTGGTGATCGTGGTGATTGGTGGTGGTGGTGATTGGTGGTGGTGGTGTTGGTGGTGGTGATGATCGTGGTGACTGGTGGTGGTGGTGATTGGTGGTGGTGGTCGTGGTGATTGATGGTGGTGGTGGTGGTGTTGGTGGTGGTGATGATCGTGGTGATTGATGATGATTGGTGGTGGTGGTGATTGGTGGTGGTGGTGATGATGGTCGTGGTGATTGATGGTGATTGGTGGTGTTGGTGGTGGTGATGATGGTCGTGGTGATTGGTGGTGGTGGTGGTGATGATGGTCGTGGTGATTGATGGTGATTGGTGGTGTTGGTGGTGGTGATGATCGTGGTGATTTGTGGTGTTGGTGATGGTGATAATCGTGGTGGTGGTGGTGGTGGTGATGATGATCGTAGTGATTGATAATGATGGTGATTGGTGGTAGTGGTGATGATGGCGGTGGTGGTGATGGCGATGATGACGATGGTGATGGTGATGATCGTGGTCATTGATGATGATGGTGATTGGTGGTCGTGGTGATGATGGCGGTGGTGGTGATGGCGATGATGACGATGGTGATGGTGATGATCGTGGTCATTGATAATAATAATGATGGTGATGAGGATGGTGATGGTGACGATGGTGATGGTGGCGATGGTGATGATGCCGTTCCGACCTCCATAGGCACTGCTGCTGCTGCTCGCTAACAGCACTTGCCCCCAGCAGTCTGTGAAGGTCACACGGGGCACCTTTGTCTTTTGTGTGATCCCAGCGTGCTATCGAGCGATGCCCGCGGGGGGTCTTTAACGTCCGGCCGGGCACGGCACTCTGCACGGTCGATGTGTGAACGCGCCGCGCGCCGCCGCAGTATTTGCCAGGGCGGCCCGACCCCTTCGCGGTGGGGAGGGGGGGGGGGGGCGTGGGGGTCGGTGTCGCCGCCCAGAACGCTCTGGAAGTGGTGACGCTCCGCTCCGCGCTCCGCTCCGTGCTCCGCTCCATGCTCCACTCCACTCCACGCTCCGCTCCGTACTCCACTCCACGCTTCACTCCCCACGCTCAGTTCCACGCTCCTCTCCACTCCTCACTCCCCTCCCTCTCCGTACTTCGCTCCACGCTCCACTCCACGCTTCTTCACTCCACGCTCCACTCCACGCTCCACTCCATTCCGCGTTCCACTCCACGCTCCCCTCCACTCCACGCTCCACTCCACGCTCCACTCCATGCTCCACTCCACGCTCCACTCTCCCACGCTCTGCTCCACCCTCCCGATTGCTCTCCGGCTCATCCTCCTCGTCCACCCCCATGGTCTCCCCCCCCCCCCCCCCCCCCCCCCGTATCTCTTCCCCCAGTCGTCCGTGCTGCCGACTCCGTGACCCCTGTTCAAGAGATTCCGTTTGGGCCTCTCTCACTTCCTCTCACTTCCTCTCACACTCTCTCTCTCTCTCTTCCTCTCTCTCTTCCTCTCTCTTCATCTCTCTTCATCTCTCTTCCTCTCTCAAGTCAATTTGCCCGCTGGTTCTGAACAGCGTCCTGATAATGTGGTCGCATGTAGCTGTAATTGTGTAGAGACCCAGAGACTCACACAGAGAGACCCATAGACTCACACAGAGACCCAGAGACTCACACAGAGAGACCCATAGACTCACACAGAGAGACCCATAGACTCACACAGAGAGGCCCATAGACTCACACAGAGACCCAGAGACTCACACAGAGACCCATAGACTCACACAGAGACCCAGACTCGCACAGAGAGACCCATAGACTCGCACAGAGACCCATAGACTCACACAGAGACCCATAGACTCACACAGAGAGACCCAGAGACTCACACAGAGAGACCCATAGACTCGCACAGAGACCCATAGACTCACACAGAGACCCATAGACTCACACAGAGACCCGTAGACTCACACAGAGTCCCGTAGACTCACACAGAGACCCATAGACTCACACAGAGACCCATAGACTCACACAGAGACCCACAGACTCACACAGAGACCCATAGACTCACACAGAGACCCACAGACTCACACAGTGAGACCCATAGACTCACACAGAGACCCATAGATTCACACAGAGACCCACAGACTCGCACAGTGACCCAGAGACTCGCACAGAGAGACCATAGACTCACACAGAGACCCACAGACTCACACAGTGAGACCCATAGACTCACACAGAGACCCATAGACTCACACAGAGACACATAGACTCACACAGAGACCCATAGACTCACACAGAGAGACCCCATAGACTAGCAACGAGACCCATAAGCTCAGACACAGACACCGATAGACTCACACAGAGACCCATTCACTCACACAGAGACCCATAGACTCACACAGAGACCCATAGACTCACACAGAGACCCATAGACTCACACAGAGACCCATAGACTCACACAGAGACCCATAGACTCACACAGAGAGACCCATAGACCCGCACAGAGACCCATAGACTCACACAGAGACCCATAGACTCACACAGAGAGACCCAGAGACTCACACAGAGAGACCCATAGACTCGCACAGAGACCCATAGACTCACACAGAGACCCATAGACTCACACAGAGACCCATAGACTCACACAGAGACCCATAGACTCACACAGAGACCCACAGACTCACACAGAGACCCACAGACTCACACAGTGAGACCCATAGACTCACACAGAGACCCATAGATTCACACAGAGACCCACAGACTCGCACAGTGACCCAGAGACTCGCACAGAGAGACCATAGACTCACACAGAGAGACCATAGACTCACACAGAGACCCACAGACTCACACAGTGAGCCCCATAGACTCACACAGAGACCCATAGACTCACACAGAGACACATAGACTCACACAGAGACCCATAGACTCACACAGAGACCGATAGACTCACACAGAGACCCATAGACTCACACAGAGAGACCCATAGACTCGCACAGAGACCCATAGACTCACACAGAGACCCATAGACTCACACAGAGACCCATAGACTCACACAGAAACCCAGAGACTCACACAGAGAGACCCATAGACTCACACAGAGACCCATAGACTCACACAGAGACCCATAGACTCACACAGAGACCCATAGACTCACACAGAGACCCAGACTCGCACAGAGACCCATAGACTCACACAGAGACCCACATACACACACGGAGACCCACAGACTCACACAGAGAGACCCATAGACTCGCACAGAGACCCATAGACTCACACAGAGACCCATAGACTCACAAAGAGACCCAGAGACTCACACAGAGACCCGTAGACTCATAAAGAGACCCATAGACTCACACAGAGACCCGTAGACTCACAAAGAGACCCATAGACTCACACAGAGACCCGTAGACTCACAAAGAGACCCATAGACTCACACAGAGACCCGTAGACTCACAAAGAGACCCATAGACTCACACAGAGACCCGTAGACTCACAAAGGGATCTTTGTCTGTGGGTGTCTGTGAATCCGCACTGTGTTGAAACCCCCCCCCACCCCCCCGAGGCCTGAGTTCGATTCCCGCTCACGACCATTAATGGTGGCGGATATCTAAACCGGTCCTGGGCGTCTCCCCTACAGGTCGACTCAGCCTCAAGCGCAGTAAACATCGCCACTGTGGGAGACAAAGGCGGCCGGGTGCTGGCCACCCACCCCCTCGTGTGCCACAGTGCCGGCCTTCATAGGCGCTACGCGACTCGCTAACAGCACTTGCCCCAACAGTCTGTTAAAGGCTACACGGGGGATCTTTGTCTTTTTTTTGCAGGTGTGTGTGTACAGGTGGAAAAGAGGCTGTGTGGGTGTGTCTGTGTGTTTGTCTGCATCGGTCAGTCATCTCAGTCAAACCCAGGACACCTGCTGGGTCTGTCCCCGTTACCTCCTCCTGCACCTAGCCTGGCACAGCAGCAGTCACCCCATGGCACCTGCTGGGTCTGTCCCGTGACCTCCTCCTGCACCTAGCCTGGCACAGCAGCAGTCAACCCATGGCACCTGCTGGGTCTGTCCCGTGACCTCCTCCTGCACCTAGCCTGGCACAGCAGCAGTCAACCCATGATACCTGCTGGGGAGTCCCGTGACACTTGTGCCAGCGGGCACGTCGACACTTCACAAGGCCTAAACGTGCACCTAGCCTGGCACAATAACCGTGATAACATCACCGCCACCTAGTGGCAAGTGTGTCGTTCGTGTGTATGTGTGTGTACTCTTGTGTACGTGTGTGTGTACATGTGTGCACGTGTGTGTGGGTACGTTTGTGTGTACATGTGTGTATATGTGTGTGTACGTGTGTATATGTGTTTGTGTGTGTACGTGTGTGTGGTTACATGTGTGTGTACATGTGTGTACGTGTGTGTATGTGTGTGTACGTGTGTGTATATGTGTGTTTGTATGTGTGTGTACGTGTGTGTGGGGAGCGGTAGTGTAGCGGTTAGCGCGCTGCGCTATGAACCTGACGACACGGGTTCGATTCCCACTCACGGCCAACACCAGTGACGATTATCTGAACCGGTCCCGGGCCTCCCCTAGGTCGACTCAGCCTCAAATGAGTACCTGGTGCGGTGTGTAAACATTGCCACTGGGGAGACAAAGGCGGTCGGGCGTGGTGCTGGCCACCCACCCCCTCGTGTACCGTTCCGGCCTTCATAGGTGCTCGCTAACAGCACTTGCCCCTACAGTCTGTTAAGGCTATACGGAGGATCTTTATCTTTGTACGTGCGCGTGCGTGCGTGTGTGTGTACACGTGTGTGTGTACACGTGTGTGTGTACGTGTGTGTACACGTGTGTGTGTACGTGTGTGTGCACGTGTGTGTGTACACGTGTCTGTACACGTGTGTGTGTACACGTGTGTATGTGTGTGTGTGTACACATGTGTGTGTGTACGTGTGTGTGTGTACACGTGTGTGTGTGTACACGTGTTTGTGTCCATGCGGTCCTTCATAGGACCATGCGCCGCTGCCGCTCTCTCCTAACAGCACTTGCCCCAACAGTCTGCCGAGGCTACACGGCGGGGGATCTTTATCTTTGTGCTGTGACTCTCGCCCCACGGGGCCGGGAGGAACCGCAGCGTTGCGGTTGTCACTCGCTCATTCTCTCGCTCATTCATTCACTAATTCATTCACTCATCCATTCACTCATTCATTAAACAACACATTGCCAGCGACGTCCAGAGAGGGGTGGGGGGAGGGGGTGGCGTGGGCCCGCCCCAAAGCTCGCCCCCCCCCCCAAAGCGCCCCTCCCCCCAAACCCCCCCCCCCAAAGCCCTGTGTGTATGTGTCTGTGTGTACGTGTATGTGTCTGTGTGTGTCTTTATATGTGTGTGCGTGTCCATGTGTGTCTGTGTATGTGTCAACCCCCTATCTCCTCGTTGGTGCCTGACGGCAACGCTGTGGTGGGTAGTGCCATGGGGGGGGAGGGCCAATGTAGATTTATGATTCCCCTCATGGCGTCTGTGACCACCACAGCGACCACATGGGGGGCTCTGGACGGGTGCGAGGGTCTGGTGACCCCTCCACCTTCAATTAATTACCACAAAATCACGACTGAAAAATGTTATTAATAAGCTTGTGCCGGAGACCCTGGGGGGATAGGCGTCGATGACGTCTCCTGGCCTCGGGGCTCCTCCAGAAACAACGAAAAGCCGCTTCGTGTGGCCACGTGGACTGTTCGAACGCTCACTGCGGAGGAGAGGCTGCCACTCCTCTGTCGGGAGCTAGACCGGTACCGCCTGGATCTCTGCGGCATTCAGGAGGTTCGGTGCACCGGCTCTGGCTCCTGCCACCATGAGGGGTGGACAGTCCTCTACTCGGGGCAGCAGACTGCTAAACAACAGGGTGTGGCTCTTCTTTGGAACAAAAGAATGAAGGGGGCGTGGGAGCGTGGCGGTGAGGTGTGGGAAGCTGTAAGTCCCAGGCTAATTTGGGCTCGCCTTCCCATCAACCGGAGGCGAGGAATGGTGGTCGTGGTTACTTATGCCCCCACCGAAGATGAACATCCGTGGAGGGATGCAGGCAAAGCCGATGAGTCAGATGCCTTCTATGACCTCCTGTCACAGGTGCTGGCTAAAGTGGCCCCTCGGGATAGAGTCATCATGTTGGGTGACTTCAATGCCCGAGTTGGTCATGATACTGGCACCTGGTCTGGAGTGATTGGAGGGTATGGACCAGATCAGCTCAATAACAACGGTAGGAGGCTGCTAGATTTTTGTGCAGCCCATGGGTTTGTAATTACCAACACGCTGTTCCGGCATCGGCGCATCCACACAACATCATGGATGCATGCTGGGTCCAAGCAAGAACATCTGCTGGACTACATAGTGACAGACCAGCGGATGCAAGCCCATGTCCTTGACACCAGGACCTACTGTGGAGTTGATCTGCCCTCTGACCATCGACTTGTCATCTGTAAGATGCGCCTGCCATTCTTCCACTCCGGCGGTGGATGTACACCCAGGACCCCAAGGTGGCCTGGTCTCTGCTAGCTGATGGAAGTTACAAACGAGAATTTAATCATCGCTTGCGGCTGAGGTTGGCATCGTCCCCCACTCCTCCTGATGTCGAGGGTAAATGGGCGAGGTTTAGGACTGTGGCTCATGCAGTTGCAATGGCTGCTTTGGGTACACAGTCCAGACCTCCCCAGAGACCCTGGCTGACAGAGGAGGTGTTCAGCCTGGCTGAGAAAAAAGCGATAGGCCCACTCTCATTGGCTACAGCATCCCACGTCAGAGAATGAGGAGGCTTCCCGCAGCCTTCGCTCGGAGGTTCGTAGAGCCGTGAGGTGCTGCAAGGATGGGTGGTGGTCGTGGGTTGCTGAGGAGATGGAGTTTGCCTCAATGGCCCGCAATCACAAATCCCTATTTAACTCCATCAAAAAGTAACCAGCAGCACCACACCTATTACCATCATTAGGGGAAAGAACGGTGGTCCAATCTCCAACCCCCAGGAACAGGTTTGCAGATTTGCTGAGCATTTTTGTGATGTCCTGGGGGAGGGGAAATCCCTCAGGCTGGAAAACATCGTCGGACAAAGTGAGGATGACCTTGCTGAGGCTGCAGTGCCTCAAATATTGGAAGAACTCACCCCCTGTGAATGGCTGGCTGAGGTGCCATCTGTTGAGGAAGTACTGAAGACGATCCAGAGTCTGAGACCAGGAAAGGCACCGGGCAGAGATGATCTTCCAAGCCAAATGCTGAGGAAGGGTGGCGTTTGTACACAGACTGCCCTACATTACATCATGACAACATTCTGGACCACTGAACAGGTTCCGCAGGATTGGAAGGATGCCCTGGTGGTCCCCCTTTTTAAGAAGAGGGACCGCACAGACTGTAACAACTACAGGGGCATCTCACTTCTCAGTGTGCCGGGAAAGGTCCTGGCAAGGATTATTAAGCATCGCCTTGCCAGGCACGCTGAGGAGAGGCTTGCGGAGCCCCAATGCGGTTTCAGGAAAGGGCGGTCCTGCACAGATGCCATATTTTCTGTCCGTCTGCTACAGCAGAGGTGTAGGGAATTCCAACAAGACCTACATCTCTGCTTTATTGACCTGGTCAAGGCCTATGATACCATCAGTAGGCCTGGGCTCTGGGTTGTTCTTCGTGCTTTTGGAGTACCTGACCCTCTGCTCACGATCATTAAGGACCTTCATGATGGTGAGCGGGCCCGGGTAAAACTACGTGGCCGGGAGTCAGAGCCATTCCCTGTACACCTTGGGGTGCGACAGGGATGTCCTCTGGCTCCCACATTGTTTAACATCTATTTTGACCACGCAGTTCGTGAAGCCTTCAATAGCTGTACTGGGGGAATCTCCATATGGTACAGATATAATGGGAGGCTGATCGATGCCCGGGTGCGGTCAAGGGATGGCTCCCTATTGCTCAACCACGTTATGTATGCTGATGATTTGGTAATAGCTGCTCATTCAGAGGAGGAGTTGGAGACCCTGCTGCTGAGACTGGAGCGTGCCACTAAGAGGTGGCGCCTTACCATCAGCCCCACCAAAACTAAGCACCTGCCTGGGTGTTTTGTGCCATCGGACACTCCACCCCCACGGCTTCCAATCGGTGATGGGGCAGTTGTGGAGAGAGTGGAGAGTTTCCCATACCTGGGCAGTGTGCTTTTGACCGGCTCCAAGTTAACAGCAGAGGTCTCACTCCGAATCAGTCGAGCGGCAATATCTTTTCATCGGTTGCGTGACGCTGTGTGGAAGCTACCTGGTCTGTCGCTCCGCACTAAGCTTCAGGTCTTCTCGGCCACGGTCATTCCCTCCCTTCTCTACGCTTGCGAAACGTGGACCCCCCTAATGGAACATCTTCGCCGGTTAGAAACATTTAGGCTGGCCTGCCTACGATCCATCCTGGGTTCAACCAGACTGGAATCTGTGAGGAGCTCACAAATCCTTGAAAGATCTGGGCAAGGTCCCATCGGTGAGCTCCTCCGGCGGGCAAGGCTGCGATGGCTGGGTCATGTAGCCCGCATGCCCAGCCACCGCATGCCGAAACAGCTTTTGTTCGGCCGGATTGAGGGGGCTAAGCGTGCGCGGCACGGGCTAGAGAAGAGATGGAGTGATGTTGTACAGGAGGACGTGGAGCTGAGTGGACTTGCCGATGACTGGTACCAGCGGTGTCAAGATCGGCCTCTGTGGAGGAGGCTCGTGAAGGACGCTACTGGGCAGTTTGAGGTAGTCGCCCTCCAACAACAACAGAGGGCGGAGGAGCGACGCTCACAACAACGAGCGGAGCGCCGGGTGGCTAAAGAACAGCAGGTTGGCACAGTAGGGGGCACAGGTGGTGCATCAGCCAGTCATCTCAGTCAGTCGACCCGTGGCACCTGGGTCTGCCCCGTGACCTCCTGCCAGCGGGCGTTCGACACTTCACGTGGCCTCAACCTGTACATAGCCTGGCACAAGTGTCGTGGTGACATCACCGCCACTTAGTGGCGAATGGCGGTTGTTGTATGTGTCTGTGTGTCTTTATATCTGTGTCTATGTGTGTGTGTATGTCTGTGGGGAGCGGTAGTGCAGCGGTTAGCGCTACGCTGCGCTACCAACCCGGCAACCTGAGTTCGATTCCCGCTCACGGCCAACTCAAGTGAAGATCATCTGAACCGGTCCTGGGCCTCCCCCTAGGTCGACTCAGCCTCTAAAGAGTACCTGGTGCGGTGTGTAGTAAACATCGCCACTGGGGAGACAAAGGCAGCCGGGCGTGGTGCTGGCCACCCATCCCCTCGTGTGCCACTGTGCCAGCCTTCATAGGTGCTCGCTAACAGCACTTGCCCCAACAGTTAAGAAGCTACACGGGGGACCTTTGTCTCTGTGTGTGCAGGCACGGCGATGACCTCATCGTGACCCCGTTTGCCCAGGTGCTGGCCAGCCTCCGGTCGGTGAGGAGCAACTTCACCATCCTCACCAACGTGCAGGGAGCCATCACCAAGTAAACACTCACCCGCTCACTCATTCAGCCATCTGCTCACCCACTCACTCGTCCACTCACCCACCCACTCGCTCACTCGCCCACCCACTCGCACGCTCACCTGCTCGCTCGCCCGCCCGCTCACTAGCTCGCTCCCCAATCATTCGCTCACCCACTCACCTGCTGACTCACCCACTCGCTGACCCACTCACTCGCTGACCCACTCACCCGCTCACTCACTTGATCGCCCACTCGCTCACCTGATTACTCACCCACTCACTCACCCACCCACCCACTCACACACCCTCCCACTCACTCACCCGCTCGCTCACCCACTCACCCACTCCCCCACCCACCCACCCACTCCCCCACCCACTCACCCACCCACTCACGCACCCACCCACTCACACACCCACCCACTCACCCACTCACTCACTCACCGAGCCGCTCACCCACCCACCCACTCTCTATCTCTCTGTCTCTCTCCCAGTGTGAAGTATTACAGTGAGGGAAAAAAGTATTTGATCCCCTGCTGATTTTGTACGTTTGCCCACTGACAAATAAATGATCAGTCTATAATTTTAATGGTAGGCTTATTTGAACAGTGAGAGACAGAATAACAACAAAAACATCCTGAAAAACGCATGTCAAAAATGTTATAAATTGATTTGCATTTTACTGAGGGAAATAAGTATTTGACCCCTCTGCAAAACATGACTTAGTACTTGGTGGCAAACCCTTGTTGGCAATCACAGAGGTCAGACGTTTCTTGTAGTTGGCCACCAGGTTTGCACACATCTCAGTAGGGATTTTGTCCCATTCCTCTTTGCAGATCTTCTCCAAGTCATTAAGGTTTCGAGGCTGACGTTTGGCAACTCGAACCTTCAGCTCCCTCCACAGATTTTCTATGGAATTAAGGTCTGGAGACTGGCTAGGCCACTCCAGGACCTTAATGTGCTTCTTCTTGAGCCACTCCTTTGTTGCCTTGGCCATGTGTTTTGGGTCATTGTCATGCTGGAATACCCATCCACGACCCATTTTCAATGCCCTGGCTGAGGGAAGGAGGTTCTCACCCGAGATTTGATGGTACATGGCCCCGTCCATCGTCCCGTTGATGCGGTGAAGTTGTCCTGTCCCCTTAGCAGAAAAACACCCCCAAAGCATAATGTTTCCACCTCCATATTTGACGGTGGGGATGGTGTTCTTGGGGTCATAGGCAGCATTCCTCCTCCTCCAAACACGGCGAGTTGTGTTGATGCCAAAGAGCTCCATTTTGGTCTCATCTGACCACAACACTTTCACCCAGTTGTCCTCTGAATCATTCAGATGTTCATTGGCGAACTTCAGACGGGCATGTAAATGTGCTTTCTTGAGCAGGGGGACATTGCGGGCGATGCAAGATTTCAGTTCTTCACGGCGTAGTGTGTTACCAATTGTTTTCTTGGTGACTATGGTCCCAGCTACCTTGAGATCATTGACAAGATCCTCCCGTGTAGTTCTGGGCTGATTCCTCACCGTTCTCATGATCATTGCAACTCCACGAGGTGAGATCTTGCATGGAGCCCCAGGCCGAGGGAGATTGACAGTTCTTTTGTGTTTCTTCCATTTACGAATAATCGCACCAACTGTTGTCACCTTCTCACCAAGCTGCTTGGCAATGGTCTTGTAGCCCATTCCAGCCTTGTGTAGGTCTACAATCTTGTCCCTGACATCCTTGGAGAGCTCTTTGGTCTTGGCCATGGTGGAGAGTTTGGAATCTGATTAAATGATTGCTTCTGTGGACAGGTGTCTTTTATACAGGTAACAAGTTGAGATTAGGAGCACTCCCTTTAAGTGTGTGCTCCTAATCTCAGCTCGTTACCTGTATAAAAGACACCTGGGAGCCAGAAATCTTTCTGATTGAGAGGGGGTCAAATACTTATTTCCCTCATTAAAATGCAAATCAACTTATAACATTTTTGACATGCGTTTTTCTGGATTTTCTTGTTGTTTTGATTTAAAGCTTTCGTGACTGCAGTAATTCATATTCTTAGTTCTTTCGGTAAAGTCACGTTGAAGGGAAACAATAAAATAATAAAATATATATAAAACAATAAAAGATTCTCACGACGTTTCGACCATAACACAAACGGTTTGTGTTATTTTATTGTTTCCCTTCAACGTGACTTTACCGAAAGAACTAAGAATATTTCTTGTTGTTATTATGTCTCTCACTGTTCAAATAAACCTACCATTAAAATTACAGACTGATCATTTCTTTGTCACTGGGCAAACGTACAAAATCGGCAGGGGATCAAATACTTTTTTCCCTCACTGTATGTCTGTAACTATCCCACTCACGTGTGACTCTTCTCCCCCACCTCTCCCTCCCCTCTCTTCCCCCCTCGTCCACCATCTCCGTGGCTAGGCGCTCCCCGATTGGTGCTCAGGCGAACAGGGCGAGTCTGTCCGGTGAGTCCGCCTGACATTTTTCGAGATGAGATTCCTCTTAAAACTAAAAAAAAAACTTTACGTTTTATTTTGCCAGGTTAAGGCCCGACCACTGAACTACTATCCAGCTTCTTTTTCAGAAGCCACCTGACCATCACAATTGATAGCTCATGGTAGTTGCTGGCTTATGATCATCATCGCGTGGACATTCATAGCAGCAGCCAAATAACTCTACAACGCGTGGTGACGTTGATTCTAAATGTCGAGGGGAAATATCGGAGGACCCGGAGAAAAATCCACGCGACCACGGGGAGAGAGAGAGAGACACGCAAACTCCAAATATACAGCAGCATTAGCAGCAGGCGTCAGGGTCGGGATCGAACCCACGACCTCCTGTACACCAGGCGAGGTAGTCAACATCTCCTAGCCACCGTGATGATGATGATGATGAGAGACACGGGGTGGGGGGTGTTGGGAACTGTGCAGATGGTGGTGGAGGGAGTTGGGGAAGCTAAACTCTGCAGAGACGGAGACACACACAGAGTAACACAGAGAGAGAGAGACACACACACAGAGTAACACGGAGAGAGAGAGACACACACACAGAGTAACACGGAGAGAGAAACAGAGTAACACGGAGAGAGAGAGACACACACAGAGATACACGGAGAGACGCACACAGAGATACACGGAGAGACACGCACAGAGTAACACGGAGAGAGACACAGAGAGATGCAGAAGAGTTAGACAATGGCCTCCCTACGCCTGTCTGTGACTCCCCCACGTCTCACGGATTCCCTCCGTTTCTCCCCGTGTCTCCCCGTGTCTCTCCCCGCGTGTTTCTCCCCGTGTCTCTCCCCGCGTGTCTCTCCCCGTGTCTCCACGCGTGTCTCTCCCCGCGTGTCTCTCCCTGTGTCTCCCCGCGTGTCTCTCCCCGTGTCTCCCCGCGTGTCTCTCCCCGCGTGTCTCCCCGCGTGTCTCTCCCCGCGTGTCTCTCCCCCTGGCGACAGATGACGGCTACCAGAAGCTGGCGCTGGAGACGATGGAGGAGCTGGACTGGTGTCTGGACCAGCTGGAGACCATCCAGACCCACCGCTCCGTCAGCGAGATGGCGAGTAACAAGGTGCAGCCCCGGGGACACTCGGACACACCCTGTCACCAGATTCTCTCTCTCTGTGTGTGCGTGTGTGTCCCTGTGCGTGTGTGTGTGTATCTCTGTGTGTGTATCTCTGTGTGTATCTCTGTGTGTATCTGTGTGTATGCGTCTCTGTGTGTTTCTGTGTGTATGCGTCTCTGTGTGTGTGTATCTGTGTGTATGCGTCTCTGTGTGTATCTGTGTGTGTGTATATCTGTGTGTATGCGTCTCTGTGTGTATCTCTGTGTGTATCTCTGTGTGTATCTGTGTGTATGCGTCTCTGTGTGTTTCTGTGTGTATGCGTCTCTGTGTGTGTGTATATCTTTGTGTATGCGTCTCTGTGTGTATCTCTGTGTGTATGAATCTCTGTGTGTATCTGTGTGTATGTATCTGCTCCAGTTTAACAGCAGAGGTCTCACTCCGAATCAGTCGAGCGGCAATATCTTTTCATCGGTTGCGTAACGTTGTGTGGAAGCTACCTGGTCTGTCGCTCCGCACTAAGCTTCAGGTCTTCTCGGCCTGCCTACGATCCATCCTGGGTTTAACCAGACTGGATTGTGTAAGGAGCTCACAAATCCTTGAAAGATCTGGGCAAGGTCCCATCGGTGAGCTCCTCCGGCAGGCAAGGCTGCGTTGGCTAGGTCATGTAGCCCGCATGCCCAGCCACCGCATGCCGAAACAGCTTTTGTTCGGCCGGATTGAGGGGGGCTAAACGGGCGCGGCACGGGCTAGAGAAGAGATGGAGTGATATCGTACAGGAGGACGTGGAGCTGAGTGGACTCGCCGATGACTGGTACCAGCGGTGTCAAGATCGGCCTCTGTTGAGGAGGCTCGTGAAGGACGCTACTGGGCAGTTGGAGGTAGTCGCCCTCCAACAACAACGGAGGGCGGAGGAGCGACGCTCACAACAACGAGCAGAGCGCCGGGTGGCTAAAGCACAGCAGGTTGGCACAGTAGGGGGCACAGGTGGTGCATCAGCCAGTCATCTCAGTCAGTCGACCCGTGGCACCTGGGTCTGCCCCGTGACCTCCTACCAGCGGGCGTTTGACACTTCACGTGGCCTCAGGGTGCACATAGCCTGGCACAAGCGTCGTGGTGACGTCACCGCCACTTAGTGGCGAATGGCGGTTGTTGTTGTTGTATGTATCTCTGTGTGTATCTCTGTGTGTGTGTGTGTCTCTGTGTGTGTATGTATCTCTGTGTGTATTTCTGTGTGTGTATGTGTCTCTGTGTGTGTCTCTGTATGTGTGTGTGTCTCTGTGTGTGTATGTGTCTCTGTGTGTGTGTCTCTGTGTGTTTTTGTGTGTGTATGTGTCTCTGTGTGTGTCTCTGTGCGTGTGTGTGTATGCATCTCTGTATGTGTCTCTGTGTGTGTGTCTCTGTGTGTATGTGTCTCTGTGTGTGTGTCTCTGTGTGTGTCTCTGTGTGTGTTTCTGTGTGTGTATGTGTCTCTGTGTGTGTCTCTGTGTGTGTGTCTCTGTGTGTGTATGTCTCTGTGTGTGTATGTGTCTCTGTATGTGTCTCTGTGTGTGTATGTATCTCTGTGTGTGTCTCTGTGTGTGTTTCTGTGTGTATCTCTGTGTGTGTATGTGTCTCTGTGTGTGTATGTATCTCTGTGTGTGTGTGTCTCTGTGTGTATGTGTCTCTGTGTGTGTCTCTGTGTGCGTGAGTAGTTCCGGAGAATCTTGAACCGGGAGCTGAATCACCTTTCAGAGATGAGTCGCTCGGGAAACCAGGTGTCTGAGTACATCTCCTCCACCTTCCTGGGTACGTGCCTGCCTCTATCTCTCTCCCTATCTCTCTCTATCTTTGTCTGTCTTTCTCTATCTCTCTCCCTCTCTCTGTCTCTCCCTCTCTCACTCTTTATCTCTCTCCCTCTATCTCTCTCTGTCTCTCTCTATCTCTCCCTCTCTATCTCTTTCTGTCTCTCTCTATCTCTCCCTCTCTCCCCCTCTCTCCCCCTCTCTCCCCCTCTCTATCTCTACCCTCTCTTTCTCCCTCTCTCCCCATCTCTATCTCTCTCCCTCTCTATCTCTCTCTATCTCTCTCCCTATCTCTCTCTATCTCTCCCTCTCTCCCCCTCTCTATCTCTACCCTCTCTTTCTCCCTCTCTCCCCATCTATATCTCTCCCTCTCTCTATCTCTCTCTCCCTATCTCTCTCCCTCTATCTCTCTCTATCTCTCTCTCTATCTCTCTCTCTCTATCTCTCTCCCTATCTCTCCCTCTCTATCTCTCTCCCTATCTCTCCCCCTCTCTATCTCTACCCTCTCTTTCTCCCTCTCTCCCCATCTCTATCTCTCCCTCTCTCTATCTCTCTCTCCCTATCTCTCTCCCTCTATCTCTCTCTATCTCTCTCCCTATCTCTCCCTCTCTATCTCTCTCCCTATCTCTCCCCCTCTCTATCTCTACCCTCTCTTTCTCCCTCTCTCCCCATCTCTATCTCTCTCCCTCTCTATCTCTCTCTATCTCTCTCCCTATCTCTCTCTATCTCTCCCTCTCTCCCCCTCTCTATCTCTACCCTCTCTTTCTCCCTCTCTCCCCATCTCTATCTCTCCCTCTCTCTATCTCTCTCTCCCTATCTCTCTCCCTCTATCTCTCTCTATCTCTCTCTATCTCTCTCTCTCTATCTCTCTCCCTATCTCTCCCTCTCTATCTCTCTCCCTATCTCTCTCCCTCTCTATCTCTCTCTATCTCTCCCTCACTCCCCCTCTCTATCTCCCTCTCTATCTCCCTCACTCCCTCTCTCTATCTCCCTCTCTCCCCCTCTTTATCTCTCTCCCTCACTCCCCCTCTCTATCTCTCTCCCTCTCTATCTCTCTCTATCTTTGTTTATCTCTCTCTCTCTCCCCGTGTCTACCCGTGTCTCCCTGTATCATTCATATCCCCGTGTCTGTCTCGCCCCCCCCACCGTGTCCACCCCCCACCGTGTCCACCCCTCCCCGTGTCCACCCCCCCGTGTCCACCCCCCCGTGTCCACCCCGCCCCCGCCACAGACAAGCAGCACGAGGTGGACATCCCGTCGCTCGCGCAGAAGGAGGAGATGAAGAAACGTCGCCAGCAGCCCATGTCTCAGATCAGCGGCGTGCGGCGCCTCACCCACAGCTCGTCCCTCACGCAGTCCACCGTGCAGTCCACCCTGCCTCGCTTCGGCACCGCCGCCCCGCACGAGGAGCTGCTAGCCAGCGTACGCAACGCTCACTCGCTCGCTCACCAGCTCACTCGCTCGCTCACCAGCTCACTCGCTCACCGGCTCACTCGCTCACTCGCTAGCCAGCGTACGCAATGCTCACCAGCTCACTCACCAGCTCACTCGCTCACCAGCTCACTCGCTAGCCAGCGTACGCAACGCTCACCAGCTCACCAGCTCACTCGCTAGCCAGCGTACGCAACGCTCACTCGCTCACCAGCTCACTCGCTCACCAGCTCACTCGCTCACTCGCTCACTCGCTCACTCGCTCGTCAGCTCACCGGCTCACCGGCTCACCAGCTCGCTCGCTCACCGGCTCACTCCCTCACTGGCTCACTCACCAGCTCACTCGCTCACCAGCTCACCTGTCAACTCAGTCACTCGTTCACCCGCTCGCTCACCCGCTCACTCCCTCACCGGCTCACTCGCTCACCGGCTCACTCGCTCACCAGCTCACTCGCTCACCAGCTCACTCGCTAGCCAGCGTACGCAACGCTCACTCGCTCACCAGCTCACCGGCTCACCGGCTCACTCGCTCACCAGCTCACCGGCTCACCGGCTCACTCGCTCACCGGCTCACTCGCTCACCAGCTCACTCGCTCACCGGCTCACTCGCTCACCAGCTCACTCGCTCACCAGCTCACTCGCTCACTCACTCGCTCACCAGCTCACCTGTCAACTCAGTCACTCGCTCACCCGCTCACTCCCCTGCTCGCTCACTCACACGACCGCTCGCTCACTCACCCACTTGCTCGCGCATCCGCTCGCTCAGCCGTCCACCCGCTCGCTGGCTCGCTCGCTCACTGATGGTGGTGGTGGTGGTGATGATGGTGGTGATGGTTGTTATGATGGGGGTGGCGATGGGGATGGTGGTGATGGTGGTGATGGTTGTTTTGATGGGGGTGGCGATGGGGGTGGCGATGGTGGTATTGATGATGGCGATGGTGACACTGGTATTGATGGTGGCGATAGTGGTATTGATGGTGGTGATGGTGATATTGGTGGTGGTATTGATGGTGGCGATGGTGACGGTGGTATTGATGGTGACGATGGTGGTATTGATGGTGGTGATGTTGGTGGTGGTGATGTCGGAGGTGGTGATGTTGGTGGTGATGTTGGTGGTGATGTTGGTGGTGATGTTGGTGGTGATGTCGATGGTGATGTTGATGGTCATGTTGGGGGTGATGTCGGTGGTGATGTCGGTGGTGATGTCAGTGGTGATGTCGGTGGTGATGTCGGTGGTGATGTCGGTGGTGATGTCAGTGGTGATGTCGGTGGTGATGTTGGTGGTGATGTCGGTGGTGATGTTGGTGGTGATGTCGGTGATGATGTTGCAGGAGATGGACGATATAAATCGCTGGGGCCTCAACATCTTCAAGATCGCCGAATACTCCGGAGGGCGACCGCTCACTGTGCTCATGTACACCATCTTCCAGGTGAGTCGCTCACCCCACCCGCTCACTCACTCAACAGCTCGCTCACCAGCTCACTCACCAGCTCGCTCACCAGCTCACTCACTCACCAGCTCACTCGCTGACTCACCAGCTCACTCGCTGACTCACCAGCTCACTCATTCACTCACCAGCTCACTCACTCACCAGCTTGCTCACCAGCTTACTCACTCATTCACCAGCTCACTCATTCACTCACCAGCTCGCTCACTCACCCACCAGCTCACTCACTCACTCACCAGCTCACTCACTCACCAGCTTGCTCACCAGCTTACTCACTCATTCACCAGCTCAATCATTCACTCACCAGCTCGCTCACTCACCAGCTCGCTCACCAGCTCACTCATTCACTCACCAGCTCGCTCACTCACCAGCTCGCTCACCAGCTCACTCATTCACTCACTCACTCACCAGCTCACTCATTCACTCACCAGCTCGCTCACCAGCTCGCTAATTCACTCACTCATCCAGTCACTCACTCGCTCACCTGCTCAATAACCCACTCACTCACCAGCTCACTCATTCACTCACTCATCCAGTCTATCACTCACCAGCTCACTCATTCACTCACTAGCTTGCTCACCAGCTCACTCATTCACTCACTCATCCAATCACCCACTCACTCACCTGCTCAATAACCCACTCAGTCACCAGCTCACTCATTCACTCACTCACTCATCCAATCACCCACTCACTCACCTGCTCAATAACCCACTCACTCACCAGCTCACTCACTCACCAGCTCGCTCACCAGCTCACTCATTCACTCACCAGCTCACTCACCAGCTCGCTCACCAGCTCACTCATTCACTCACTCACTCACTCACCAGCTCACTCACTCACCCACTCACCCACCCACACAATCACTTGCTCACCGGCACGCTCGCTCACTCGCTCACTCACTCTCCATTTAATCAAAATAAGACTTTCTGTCGAAGCCTCCATTCAACCTTCATCACCGCAGCTCTCACCCCACCCCCCCGTGACCCTCCCCGTGATCCCCCCGTGACCCCCCCGTGACCCCCCCGTGACCCCCCACCCGTGACCCCCCCCGTGACCCCCCCCCCGCAGGAGCGTGAGCTGCTCAAGACGTTCCGCATCCCCGTGGACACGTTCCTGGCCTACGTGATGACCCTGGAGGACCACTACCACGCGGACGTGGCCTACCACAACAGCCTGCACGCCGCAGATGTCGCGCAGTCCACGCACGTGCTGCTCTCCACGCCCGCCCTCGACGTACGCACGCACACACGTACACACGTACACGTACACACGTACACACACGTACACACGTACACGTACACACACACGTACACACACGTACACACATACACACACACACACACACGTACACACACACACATACACACACATACACACACACGTACACACACACACGCACGTACACGCACACATACACACACACACACATACACACACATGTACACACACACACACGTACACACATACACACACATACACACGTACACACACACACGTACACACGCACACACACACGCACATACACACACACGCACATACACACACACACGCACGTACACGCACACACTCACGTACACACACACACATACACACACGTACACACACACGTACACACAAACACGCACGCGTACACACACACACACACACGTACACACACACACGCACGTACACACACACACACGGACGCATGCATGAGGGTGGTGCGCCTGGTACTGAGTCTCTCTCTATGTGTGTTGTTGTTGTTTGTGTTTGCCAGGCGGTGTTTACAGACCTGGAGATCTTGGCGGCGTTGTTCGCGAGCGCCATTCACGACGTCGATCACCCGGGCCTCTCAAACCAGTTCCTCATCAGCACCAGTGAGTGTATGCACCTAGCCTGGCACGCTCACCACCTCTCCACCTGTGTGTGTGTGTGTGTGTGCGTACTAAGGACAGCACTTGCCGCCGCCGACAACCTGTACAGGCTACATGGGTCACCTTTGTCTTGCGTGTGTGTGAGAGAGAGAGAGGACACACACACACACACGTGTCTGTGAATGTACAAAAGACAAAGATCCCCCGTGTCGCCTCTAACAGACTGTCGGGGCAAGTGCTGTTAATGAGTAGCAGCAGCACCTATGAAGGAGACAAAGACAAAGATCCCCCGTGTAGCCTCTAACAGACTGTCGGGGCAAGTGCTGTTAGCGAGTAGCAGCAGCGCCTATGAAGGAGACAAAGACAAAGATCCCCTGTGTAGCCTGTAACAGACTGTCGGGGCAAGTGCTGTTAGCGAGTAGCAGCAGCGCCTATGAAGGCGACAAAGACAAAGATCCCCCGTGTAGCCTCTAACAGACTGTCGGGGCAAGTGCTGTTAGCGAGTAGCAGCAGCGCCTATGAAGGAGACAAAGACAAATATCCCCCGTGTAGCCTCTAGCAGACTGTCGGGGCAAGTGCTGTTAGCGAGTAGCAGCAGCACCTATGAAGGCGACAAAGACAAAGATCCCCCGTGTAGCCTCTAACAGACTGTCGGGGCAAGTGCTGTTAGCGAGCAGCACCTATGAAGGCCGGCGCTGTGGCACACGAGGGGGTGTGTGGCCAGCACCACGCTCGGCCGCCTTTGTCTCCCCAGTGGCGATGTTTACTACACACTGCACCAGGTACTCATTTGAGGCTGAGTCGGCCTAGGAAAGGCCCAGGACCGGTTCAGATAATTGTCACTGGTGGTGTTGGCCGTGAGCGGGAATCGAACTTGGGTTGCCGGGTTCGTAGCGCAGTGTAGCGCTAACCACTACCACACCACCGCTGCCCGCACACACACACACCTACACACACACCTACACACACACCTACAACCGCCATTCGCCACTAAGTGGCGGTGACGTCACCATGACGCTTGTGCCAGGCCATGTGCACCTTGAGGCCACGTGAAGTGTCGAACGCCCGCGCGCAGGAGGTCACGGGGCAGACCCAGGTGCCACGGGTCGACTGACTGAGATGACTGAGATGACTGGCTGGTGCACCACCTGTGCCCTCTACTGTGCCAACCTGCTGTGCTTTAGCCACCCGCGCTCCGCTCGTTGTTGTGAGCGTCGCTCCTCCGCTCTCCGTTGTTGTTGGAGAGCGACTGCCTCCAACTGCCCAATAGCGTCCTTCACGAGCCTCCTCCACAGAGGCCGATCTTGACACCGCTGCTACCAGTCATCGGCAAGTCCACTCAGCTCCACGTCCTCCTGTACCACATCACTCCATCTCTTCTCTAGCCCGTGCCGCGCCCGTTTAGCCCCCTCGATCTGGCCGAACAAAAGCTGTTTGGGCATGCGGTGGCTAGGCATGCGGGCTACATGACCCAGCCAACGCAGCCTTGCCTGCCGGAGGAGCTCACTGATGGGACCTTGCCCAGATCTTTCAAGGATTTTTGAGCTCCTCACACAATCCAGCCTGGATAAACCCAGGATGGATCGTAGGCAGGCCAGCCTAAATGTTTCCAACCGGCGAAGATGCTCCATTAAGGGGGTCCACATTTCGCAAGCGTAGAGAAGGGAGGGAATGACCGTGGCCGAGAAGACCTGAAGCTTAGTGCGCAGCGACAGACTAGGTAGTTTCCACACAGCGTTACGCAACCGATGAAAAGATATTGCCGCTCGACTGATTCAGAGTGAGACCTCTGCTGTTAAACTGGAGCCAGTCATAAGCACACTTCCCAGGTATGGGAAACTCTCCACTCTCTCCACAACTGCCGCATCACCGATTGGGGGTTGTGGGGGTGGAGTGTCCGATGGTACAAAATACCCAGACAGGTGCTTAGTTTTGGTGGGGCTGATGATAAGGCCCCATCTCTTAGTGGCACACTCCAGTCTCAGCAGCAGCGTCTCCTACTCCTCCTCTTAATGAGCAGCTATTACCAAATCATCAGCATACATAACGTGGTTGAGCAATAGGGAGCCATCCCTTGACCGCACCCGGGCATCGATCAGCCTCCCATTATATCTGTACCAAATGGAGATTCCCCCGGTACAGCTATTGAAGGCTTCACGAAATACGTGGTCAAAATAGATGTTAAATAATGTGGGAGCCAGAGGACATCCCTGTCGCACCCCAAGGTGTACAGGGAATGGCTCTGACTCCCGGCAACGTAGTTTTACCCGGGTCCGCTCACCATCATGAAGGTCCTTAATGATCGTGAGCAGAGGGTCAGGGACTCCAAAAGCACGAAGAACAACCCAGAGCCCAGGCATACTAATGGTATCATAGGCCTTGACCAGGTCAATAAAGCAGAGGTGGAGGTCTTGTTGGAATTCCCTACACCTCTGCTGTACCAGACGGACAGAAAATATGGCATCTGTGCAGGACCGCCCTTTCCTACAACCGCATTGGGGCTCCGCAAGCCTCTCCTCAGCGTGCCTGGCGAGGCGATGTTGAATAATCCTTGCCAGGACCTTTCCCGGCACACTGAGGAGTGAGATGCCCCTGTAGTTACAGTCTGTGCGGTCCCCCTTCTTAAAGAGGGGGACCACCAGGGCATCCTTCCACCTACACACACTCATGCACACACACCTACACACACACCTACATAACAACCGCCATTCGCCACTAAGTGGCAGTGACGTCACCAGGACGCTTGTGCCAGGCCATGTGCACCTTGAGGCCACGTGGAGTGTCGAACGCCCGCTGGCAGGAGGTCACGGGACCGACCCAGGTGCCACGGATCGACTGACTGAGATGACTGGCTGATGCACCACCTGTGACCCCTACTGTGCCAAACTGCTGTGCTTTAGCCACCCGGCGCTCCGCTCGTTGTTGTGAGCGTCGCTCCTCCGCCCTCCGTTGTTGTTGGAGGGCGACTGCCTCCAACTGCCCAGTAATATCGTCCCATCACGAGCCTCCTCCACAGAGGCCGATCTTGACACCGCTGGTACCAGTCATCGGCAAGTCCACTCAGCTCCACGTCCTCCTGTACCACATCACTCCATCTGTTCTCTAGCCCGTGCCGCGCCCGTTTATCCCCTCGATCCGGCCGAACAAAAGCTGTTTCGGCATGCGGTGGCTGGGCATGCGGGCTACATGACCCAGCCATCGCAGCCTTGCCCACACACCTACAAACACTCATGCACACACACACATGGACACACACAGACACGCACATACGCACGCAGACACGAACACACAGACATGCACACACGCGCACACAGAAATGCCCGCGGATACGCAGACACGCATGCGCACACACAGACACGCACGCACGCGCACACAGACGCGCAGCCGCACAAACAGATGCACACACACACAGACACGCACGCACACACAGACATGCAGGAACACGCACACAGAACCGCACGCGCACACACAGACACGCACGCGCACAGACGCGCACACACATAGACGCACACACACAGACACGCACGCGCTTGCACGCACACACACATGGACACACAGACACGCACACACGCACACACACATGGACACACACAGACACGCACACACGCACGCACACGGAGACACGAACATGCGCACACACAGACGCGCACACACACAGACACACACACACATAGACGCGCACGCACACAGACACGCACGCACACAGACACGCACGCACACAGACACGCACATACGGACACGCACGCGCACAGACACGCACACACGGACACGCACGCGCACAGACACGCACACACAGACACGCACGCGCACAGACACGCACACACAGACACGCACGCGCACAGACGCACACACACAGACACGCACGCGCATGCACGCACACACACATGGACACACAGACACGCACACACGCACACACACATGGACACACACAGACACGCACACACGCACGCACACGGAGACACGAACACGCGCACACACAGACGCGCACACACACAGACACGCACACAGACATGCACGCGCACACACAGACATGCACGCCCGCACACACAGAAGCGCACGCCCACACACAAACATGCACGCGCACACAGACACGCACACACACACAGACACGCACACACACACAGACACGCACACACACACAGACACGCACGCGCACACACAAACACGCACACACACAAACACGCACGCGCACACACAGACACGCACACGCACAGACACACACACAAACACAGGACACCGCGTGTACACACACGCGGTTGCTATGGCGATGGATGGCGCGTCACATGACAAACCCTTGAGAGAGCAGAGGGAGAGCGAGGAGAGTGGGGGGAGAGAGTGGGGGGGAGAGAGTGGGGAAAGAGAGTGGGGAGAGAGAGTGGGGGGAGAGAGTGGGGAGAGAGTGGGGAGAGAGTGGGGGGAGAGAGTGGGGGGAGAGAGTGGGGGGAGAGAGAGTGGGGGGAGAGAGCGGGGGGGAGAGAGAGTGGGGGGAGAGAGAGTGGGGGGAGAGAGTGGGGGGGAGAGAGTGGGGGGAAAGAGTGGGGAGAGAGTGGGGAGAGAGAGTGGGGAGAGAGAGTGGGGAGAGAGAGAGGGGAGAGAGTGGGGAGAGAGAGTGGGGGGGAGAGAGTGGGGAGAAAGAGTGGGGAGAGAGTGGGGAGAGAGAGTGGGGAGAGAGAGTGGGGAGAGAGAGAGGGGAGAGAGTGGGGAGAGAGAGTGGGGAGAGAGAGTGGGGGGAGAGAGTGGGGGGAGAGAGTGGGGAGAGAGAGTGGGGAGAGAGTGTGGGGAGAGAGAGTGGGGAGAGAGAGTGGGGAGAGAGAGTGGGGGGAGAGAGTGGGGGGAGAGAGTGGGGGGAGAGAGTGGGGGGGAGAGAGTGGGGGGAGAGAGAGAGTGGGGTGGGGAGAGAGTGGGGGGAGAGAGAGTGGGGTGGGGAGAGAGTGGGGGGGGAGAGAGTGGGGGGGGGAAGAGAGTGGGGGGGGAGAGAGTGGGGGGAGAGAGAGTGGGGGGAG